ATAAGGCTTAGAAAATGATACGGCTCGTAATCAGACGTGTCCAGTTTCAATGTCACACACGTATTGTGTTCCATGATATCTGAGTTTTTCTTTGGCTTATTAGAGATTAATGTCGAATAATAAAAAGAAACAAAACAGCATGTCGAGAAAAATAAGAATAAAGTTTTTGATATCCGTTGAATGTAGGTATATACCTAACATGTAAAATTAGTAAATATTTTTCCTTTTTAATTGTCAGAGATTAAATAAGCAACAGGAATTTAAAATGGAAAATATTCATAAATCGATTTTTCTTCGGTGAAAATTTTTCTTCGGCATAAAAAATGTGCAGCACGATAGTTTATTAGGTATGCAAATATTTAAACAATGAAGTGTAATAAGTTGCCTACGATAAAGATTGTAATTGTAAATATTTTTTAATTACTGGCGAGACCCATTCAAAAAATCGTAGATAAATGTATACGAGTAACAAAAAATGAATCCACTCATATACAATAAAGGATTTAGATAGCTGAAATTGATGAGAAGTGTTAAAAAATAAAAAATTTATAATTTAAGCTCGGTAAAACCCGACACTCTACTATTAAGCGTAATTTTGAAGTAGGGGACAAAAAATGGACCTGCAGATATAAAACTCCAACCGTGTCGATTTAAATACTGACACTCTATATTTAAAGATAAGTGATCTCTTGATGAAGCCAAGAATGTTGGCGAAAATTTGAGAATTAATAAATATAACATCAGCCTATCGTTTTGTTTACAATAATTTACCTACGACACTCTCAATTAAATTATCTTTTTTTCAACTAGTACGGTAGTTACTAAGATCAATTTTATTCATATTGACTGAATAAGGATTCTGACCATATGGATTTAAATACTGACTATCCATATTTAAGTGCTACCAGTTGATATTTAATCATTAATCATCGATGGATTCTGACCATATGGATTTAAATACTGACTATCCATATTTAAGTGCTACCAGTTGATATTTAATCATTAATCATCGATGGATTCTGACCATATGGATTTAAATACTGACTATCCATATTTAAGTGCTACCAGTTGATATTTAATCATTAATCATCGATGGATTCTGGCCATATGGATTTAAATACTGACTATCCATGTTTAAGTGCTAGCAGTTGATATTTAATAATTAATCATCGATGGATTCTGGCCATATGGATTTAAATACTGACTATCCATATTTAAGTGCTGGCAGTTGATATTTAATCATTAATCATCGATGGATTCTGGCCATATGGATTTAAATACTGACTATCCATATTTAAGTGCTAGCAGTTGATATTTAATNAGGAGATCGGGCTGAAACTATAGCTACAAGCTATCCAAGGATGGTACTATAGAATGTCACCTCAAGGTAGGCCTAGTGGCGTCATCTCTTGGTTAGGCCGGAAACTTATCAATCCACCCTCGTATATCATACATGATACATTCATTCACGTATAAATAATATAATAAAAAGGTTAAAGGTTTAAAGATGTATGTTTGGAGCACGGCGTTGAACAGGTGCGAAACATAGACGGTGGGCGTGGCGGAAAGGCATTCGAAATGTGGTGTTACAGGCAAATGATGAGGATACCGCAGATAGAGAAGGTTAGAAATGAGGAGTAGGAGAACTGAGTACTCTATGGAAGACAATAAAAAATAGGCGAGATAGGTTGGTAGGACACCTTCTAGGTCTAGTCAGAGACATATTAGAGGCATAAACAGGAGTCAAGAGGGGTAGAGGTAGACCTAGATTAGATTACTGTTCGCAAATAGTTAAGGATGTGGGCTGTTCTAGTTTTAGAGAAATGCGAAGTTTAGCTCAGGATAGGAAAGAGTGGAGGTGCGTGTCCAAGCAGTCTTAGGATTGACGACCTGATGATGATGATAATAAAAAATTGCAACACTACTCTTTGCAATCTTCAAAACCGTACCCCACTGTTATTATACTAAAGATTGAGGCAATTCCTAACACAAAAATCTCGTAAAGTTTTATTGTGCACTGATAAAAATAATCGTTTTTGTTCATTCATTAGCAAATGACATCATCTTCTACTTTGCTGTTTAACTATGTTATGTCTTCTAAAAATTATTTAAATGAAATAGATAGTAATAATTACGTTAATAATCATAAAAATAAATGTGTTATGTTCTTGTTGTCTACGATTATATTTATAAAAAAGTGTAAGAGGATATTAGATAACTAGAGGCTGGCAGCCGCTCAGGTCACTGATACTGATAATAAAAATGAAGGATTGGTATTGCTTGATTTACAAACACATTTTATTTTTAATTTAATGTTAAATTACATTTTTTCGAAAAAATTCATTGTTATCGAAATTTTCAGGTTGAAAAATTCAAAGATATTTACTTAGAAATAGGGACACTTGATACGTCGGGTTTTGTAAAAGAACTTAAGAAGCATGATACTAAGACTTAGGGATCATCTTAATAAATAGTGTTAGAATGATGTGTTAATTTCTGGAGAAAAATGCTTTAGAGATTAAATAAGTGGCGTAGATGTTTGATAAGGTACACAACTTTAGGTCCGCTGGCATTAAACAAAACAAATTAAAACTTACATGGTCACAATCTAAATCCATATGGTCGGTAAATTATTCTGTTTTTAACTAACAATTTATATTTAAATATTAACACTGAATATATTGACACTTAACTATCCATCAAATGACTAAACAGACACAAATTAACTGCTGGTCACCAAAAAATTCCAACCGTGTCGATTTAAATACTGACACTCTATATTTAAAGATAAGTGATCTCTTGATGAAGCCAAGAATGTTGGCGAAAATTTGAGAATTAATAAATATAACATCAGCCTATCGTTTTGTTTACAATAATTTACCTACGACACTCTCAATTAAATTATCTTTTTTTCAACTAGTACGGTAGTTACTAAGATCAATTTTATTCATATTGACTGAATAAGGATTCTGACCATATGGATTTAAATACTGACTATCCATATTTAAGTGCTACCAGTTGATATTTAATCATTAATCATCGATGGATTCTGACCATATGGATTTAAATACTGACTATCCATATTTAAGTGCTACCAGTTGATATTTAATCATTAATCATCGATGGATTCTGACCATATGGATTTAAATACTGACTATCCATATTTAAGTGCTACCAGTTGATATTTAATCATTAATCATCGATGGATTCTGGCCATATGGATTTAAATACTGACTATCCATGTTTAAGTGCTAGCAGTTGATATTTAATCATTAATCATCGATGGATTCTGGCCATATGGATTTAAATACTGACTATCCATATTTAAGTGCTAGCAGTTGATATTTAATCATTAATCATCGATGGATTCTGGCCATATGGATTTAAATACTGACTATCCATATTTAAGTGCTAGCAGTTGATATTTACACTTAGTCACCAATGGATTGTGGCCATATGGATTTAAATACTGAGTATCCATATTTAAGTGCTACCAGTTGATATTTAATAATTAATCATCGACGGATTCTGGTCATATGGATTTAAATACTGACTATCCATATTTAAGTGCTAGCAGTTGATATTTACACTTAGTCACCAATGGATTGTGGCCATATGGATTTAAATACTGAGTATCCATATTTAAGTGCTACCAGTTGATATTTAATAATTAATCACCGACGGATTCTGGTCATATGGATTTAAATACTGACTATCCATATTTAAGTGCTAGCAGTTGATATTTACACTTAGTCACCAATGGATTGTGGCCATATGGATTTAAATACTGAGTATCCATATTTAAGTGCTACCAGTTGATATTTAATCATTAATCATCGATGGATTCTGGCCATATGGATTTAAATACTGACTATCCATATTTAAGTGCTAGCAGTTGATATTTAATAATTAATCACCGACGGATTCTGGCCATATGGATTTATATACTGACTCTCCATATTTAAGTGCTAGCAGTTGATATTTACATATCAGTCACCAGTGGATTCTGGTGATATGGATTTAAATACTGACTCTTTATATTTAGTTTTAGTTGATATTTAAACATTAGCCACCAATGGATTCTGGCTGTATGAATTTAAATACTGACTCCATATTTAAGTGCTAGCAGTTGATATTTAAATATTAGTCAGCAAAGGATTCTAAACATATGCACTTAAATGCTAGCCCTTCATATTTAAATATTCGCTCAATGTTGAAATACTGACTGTCCAATGATTAAACGCACAGAGATTTAACTGAAAACACACAGATTATAGTACTGGCCACTAAAGGATATATAGACACTTCATATTGAAATACTGGTACTTTATATTTGGATAGTAACCATCAAAGAAGTCTTACCATATGGATTTGAATACTGACCCTCCATATTTAAGTGCTAGCAGTTGACCGATAATCATTAATCATCGATGGATTCTGGCCATATGGATTTAAATACTGACTATCCATATTTAAGTGCTAGCAGTTGATATTTACACTTAGTCACCAATGGATTGTGGCCATATGGATTTAAATACTGACTCTTTATATTTAGTTTTAGTTGATATTTAAACATTAGCCACCAATGGATTCTGGCTGTATGAATTTAAATACTGACTCCATATTTAAGTGCTAGCAGTTGATATTTAAATATTAGTCAGCAAAGGATTCTAAACATATGCACTTAAATGCTAGCCCTTCATATTTAAATATTCGCTCAATGTTGAAATACTGACTGTCCAATGATTAAACGCACAGAGATTTAACTGAAAACACACAGATTATAGTACTGGCCACTAAAGGATATATAGACACTTCATATTGAAATACTGGTACTTTATATTTGGATAGTAACCATCAAAGAAGTCTTACCATATGGATTTGAATACTGACCCTCCATATTTAAGTGCTAGCAGTTGACCGATGGATTCTCGCCATATGGATTTAAATACCAACCCTTCATATTTAAATATTGACGCTTAATATTGAAATACTGAACGTCGAAGAACTAAATGCACACATATTTATTTAAATATTCACAGATTTAAGTATTGGCCTCCAAAAGATTTCGACCATACTGACTTAAATACAGACTTTTCGTATTGAAATACTGACACTATATTTGAATATCGACTAAACAAGGATTCTGGCCATATGAATTTAAATACTGACTCTTCATGTTTAAGTGCTAGCAGTTGATATTAGACATTCGACACCAATGGATTCTGAACATATGGATTTAAATACTAAATCTTTAAATTTAAGACGTCCAAGGACTAAAGGCTTAAGACTTAAGTACTGACCACTTAAGGATTTCGACCATATAGACTTAAATATAGACACTTCATATTAAAATACAGGCACTTTATATTTGAATAGTGACCATCAAATAATTCTTACCGTATGGATTTAAATGCTGATTCTCCGTATTTAAATGCTGGTACTTAATATTTAAATACTGGCCACTAATGGATTATGACCATATGAATTTTAACTGAATTAACATTTAATATTGCAATATTGACTATTAAAGGATTCTAACCACATGATTTAAGTGTTACTTTTGAATATTTAAACACAGACGCTGCATATTTAAATACTGGTATTTAACATTTAAATACTGACCATATAAATATTTTGCCTCTACGGATACGTACCATATCCCAGTTGGTAAGATATCCCGATCTATCTGAGCATAAGCCAACCTTCCCAAAATTTTCAGGCAACTTCTTATTTTCGGCGTAAAACAAAGCGAAAACGTTTTGTAATAAAACCACAACGTGGAAAGTTGCTTTCAGCGTTTTGTAGACAGTCGGCCGGTAATTTTGGAAGTTCAGATCAATTTTGAATTTATTCAAATACATTGCTGTGCAGCCAGTTCTTAAATTGCACCACAAAAACCACTTGCTTCTTAACTAAATACTGTTCTGGCGGATGAATACTAAATAAGGCTTAGAAAATGATACGGCTCGTAATCAGACGTGTCCAGTTTCAATGTCACACACGTATTGTGTTCCATGATATCTGAGTTTTTTTTTGGCTTATTAGAGATTAATGTCGAATAATAAAAAGAAACAAAACAGCATGTCGAGAAAAATAAGAATAAAGTTTTTGATATCCGTTGAATGTAGGTATATACCTAACATGTAAAATTAGTAAATATTTTTCCTTTTTAATTGTCAGAGATTAAATAAGCAACAGGAATTTAAAATGGAAAATATTCATAAATCGATTTTTCTTCGGTGAAAATTTTTCTTCGGCATAAAAAATGTGCAGCACGATAGTTTATTAGGTATGCAAATATTTAAACAATGAAGTGTAATAAGTTGCCTACGATAAAGATTGTAATTGTAAATATTTTTTAATTACTGGCGAGACCCATTCAAAAAATCGTAGATAAATGTATACGAGTAACAAAAAATGAATCCACTCATATACAATAAAGGATTTAGATAGCTGAAATCGATGAGAAGTGTTAAAAAATAAAAAATTTATAATTTAAGCTCGGTAAAACCCGACACTCTACTATTAAGCGTAATTTTGAAGTAGGGGACAAAAAATGGACCTGCAGATATAAAACATAAAATTAAGGTAATGAAACTGATTAGAAATAAATATAAGACACTTGCGACATTTTAAACAAGATGAGTCGTATTAAGGTAATGGACAATAAATTGACACGTTTTTATAGAAGTTTATGTCCGTTTAATGACAACCTCCTAACTATAAGGAGTCGTTTTGGGGCAAGGAACAAGAAATGGACCTACATGTATACAATATGACTTCGAAACAATTAAAACTGATAAAAATGTTAATGTATAAGAATCTCCTACCAGTAGACGCATATGGGACAGAGAACAAGAAATGGACCTACATTTATACAGTATGACTTAAAAAGTATATGAATCTCCTAACTGCGAGGAGTCGTATTGGGACAACGAACAAGAAATGGACCTACATTTATACACAATGATATTGAAACAACTAAAGTTGATAAGCATATCGAAGTGTAAGAAATTCGGAAAGTTTCTGTCAACTATAAGGAGTTGTATTGGGACAAGGGACAAAAAATGGACCTACATTTAAACAACTAAAGTTGATTAGCATATCGAAGTGTAAGAAACTGCAATATCCCAACTATAAGGAGTTGTATTGGGACAAGGGACAAAAAATGGACCTCCATTTATACAGTATGACTTCGAAAAAATTAAAATTGATAAAAATTTTGAAGTGTAAGAATCTCCTAACTATGAGGTGTCACAGGACAAAAATGGAATTGAAACATTAATAATTGTCAAAAAACGTTAAAATCTAATGAATTCATGGCGCTCCACGTTTGCCCATACTTGTGTGACACTTTTACCTGCGTTGTTGCTCAGGTGGACGGCAAAAATCGGGGAAAGTCGAACATGTTCGTATTCGACGACCACCTTGTGATTCATTTAAAATCAAAAGCTGCTTAATTGTGTATTTACCTGCGCGACGTAGGATTACGCGCTCGTTATTTGCTTTTGCACGATAAAATTTTGCTCGATATGTTTATCTTTTATCGAACATATTTTTTGCAGGTGTCAGTATTACGTTCGGTTATCTAATAACGGAGTTTAATACGTCCCTATCGAGTGACTTAAGTCGTTTCTGTTAGTTTACTTGTTGCAGTGAAATGGAAAATTAGTTTTCGTCAAATTCGGAGTTGCGGTAAGTGAACGCTGATTATTTTGCAATATTGGTACTTAGTTAGAGTTGCCAAAACGCCGTTTACAGGTGGAATGAGTTAGCCAATGACGGGCTTTGTTAGAGACAGTTATTTTTTTCCTTATTTGTATCAAACGCGACCTTGCTTGTTCAATTTGGGCAAGTCTAAAAGGTGACGGTGAACAAAGGGATTCATTTGGACGGAGGTCTGAACTTTTTTGAAAGTTCGTTCTATTATAAGTGCCTATGTAGGTCCATAGCATTTGGGTCACTGTAATTACGCTATTATTAATTTTAACGTAAGATTGATTGACGACCTTCTTTAATAGCTTTAAATATGTAGTAAGTTAATTATTTGGTTGTGTGGAAGTTACGTTGTGGTTAGTGTTTCCTTAAAGTTTATGCGGTTGACACAACAAACAGTTTTCTTTGTAAAGGTGAAGTAAGAATTATTATTGTGAAAGATGCACATAAACCAAGGAAAATCAAAAATGGTAAATACAGGAAAAATTTACATACCTATATTTAGATAGTTAGTTAAAATATTTACTATTTTTCTTATATGTATAACAAATAACTTGCGTTTATGGGTTCAACAGGTGTTTCTCATTTTATTTAGTCTTTAATTTATTGTAAAATACATTCATCTTTTAAAACCTTTATCATCAAGATCATCGACGAACACATAAAACTAATTTTTCTATTCCTCGGGAACAGCATTCTTTTTTTGGATAAAAGATACCCTATGTCCTTACTTGTACCCCTGACAACGTGTGTACAAAATTTCATGATGATCGATTGAGTGGTTAAGGTGTGAAATGGTAACAAACAAGCAAACTAACTCACATTCGTATTTATATTGTTTCTAATTGTAGTTCGTTTTTTTTTTTAATTGCGATCATATGTTTTTGTTATTATTTTTTATTTTTTTTGTGAACTGTTTTTGGAGATACCTAAATCTTCAATTTCCAATTAAAAATTCGTTCTAATTTGTAAAAGCTTCAAGGGTAGGTAAAATTTTGTAATTATTTCTTAAAAATGATTCTATATGTATTCCATATGCTTATTTTTATTGCTGTTTAGCCCAAATCTCCTATCGAATTTTATAAATATAGTTCTGATAAAATTTAGAAAAATAAATAATATACCGAGCAGCATTTATTCAAAAGTCATTATTAATACCTTTTGATTTTCTATTTGTTAATATTATTATCTAGTCGTTTATTGTCTATATTTAGAAAAATAATGACGCAAGCAAAAAAATCTTTTTCATTGAAAAATTATCACTGGCTATACTTGGATACTATTAGTATATTAGTTTTGATTGAAAAGTAACTGTATTATCGTTCTTAATGTTATTTTAAAAGCCAATGATTAGTTAGAAAGTGAAAAATATATTTATTATGTGATTGTCGATGATTTTTGACACATATTTTTATTAATAAAAACTTAAAAACTAGTCAAAATTAGATTTCATCATCATCATCGTCATCATAACGTCGTCAGTCCTAAGACTGGTT